ACGGCGACATCTCGTGAGGTGAGTGTATACTAAAATTTGGTTTTCATCTAGGGAGGATATTTCAAATCAACTTGACGACATCTGTTGATGAAAACAAATTGAGAACTCTGTTGGTGTTTTTCTCATTATAGACAACAACACTAAAATTAAAAGCATTATTTTGTTATAATTTTTTTTAAATATTCCTAAAAAACCCACGCTGTGATTGTCCTGCAAAAATGTTCTGTAAAAAACCCACGCCATACTGGAAGGTCCTTGAAAAATTATTCTTTAAAACATCCCCGCCTTTGATGGTCCTTGAAAATATATTTTAAAAAAAACTCCACACATGTGATGGTCCTGGGAAAAATATTCTTAAAAAATTCACGCCTTTGCTGGTCCTTTAAAAAGAATTCCCTAAATAATTTACTCCTTCGATGGTCCTTGAAAAAATATTCCGGAAAAAATCGACACCATACTGGAAGGTCCTGTTACGGCTCTGGAAAAACATTCTTCAAAAATCGCCTATCGCATCTGTTTGTCGTTAAAAAAAAAAAAATATTCCTTAAATAATTCACGCCTCGAATATTCTTTAAATAATGTACGCCTGTGTTGGTCCTTGAAAAAATATTCTTTGAAAAATCTACGCCTCTATTTGGTCTTAAAACAAATATCTTTTAAAAAATCCTGGCATGTGTTTGTTCCTTGAAAAAATATTTTTTTAAAAAATCCTCGCCTGTATTTGGTCCTTGAAAAAATATTCTTTAAAAAATCTACGCCTATGTTTGGTCCTCGAAAAAATATTCTTTTAAAAATCTACGCCTGTGTTTAGTCCTTGAAAAAATATTCTTTAAAAAATCTACGCCTGTGTTTGGTCCTTGAAAAAATATTCTTTAAAAAATCCACGCCTCAATTGGTCCTTAAAAAATATTCTTTGAAAAATTTATGCCTGTGTTTGGTCCTTGAAAAAATATTCTTTAAAAAATCCACGCCTGTGTTTGGTCCTTGAAAAAATATTCTTTAAAAAATCCACGCCTGTGTTTGGTCCTTGAAAAAATATTTGTTGAAAAATCCTGGTCCTTGAAAAAATATTTTTTTAAAAAATCTAAAAAATATTTTTTAGAAAATTCTGGTCCTTTTTTTTTTTAAAAAATTTGAAAATAACACGCCTGTTTTGGCCCTTGAAAAAATATTCCTTAAAAAATCTATGCCTGTGTTTGATCTTTGAAAAAATATTTTTTTAAAAAAAACCTATTCCTTGAATAAATATTTTTTTTAATCCACGCCTGTGTTGGTCCTTGAAAAAATATATTTTAAAAAATCCTGGTCCTTGAATAAATATTTTTTTTTAAAATCCACGCTTGTGTTGGTCCTTGAAAACAAATTTATATTTTAAAAAATCATGGTCCTTGAATAAATCTTTTTTCAAAAAACCAGCGCTTGTGTTGGTCCTTGAAAAAAATATATTTTAAAAAATCCTGGTCCTTGAATAAATATTTTTTTTAAAAAATCCACGCTTGTGTTGGTCCTTGAAAAAATATTTATTTAAAAAAATTATGGTCCTTGAATAAATCTTTTTTCAAAAAACCAACGCCTGTGTTTGGTCTTTGAAAAAATATTTTTCAAAAAATCCTGGTCCTTGAAAAAATATTTTTTTTTTAAATTTGCCTGTGTTTGGTCTTTGAAAAAATATTTAAAAAACCTGATCCTTGGAAAATATTTTTTAAATTTAGTTTTTCGATATTTTTTTAAAATCCTGCTCCTTGAAAAAATATGCATGTGTTTAATCTTTGCAAAAATATTTTTAAAAAAATCCAGGTCCTTGAAGAATTTTGTTTTAAATCCACTCCTGTGTTTGGTCCTTGAAAAAATATTTCTTAAAAATATCCTGGTCCTTAAAAAATATTTTTTTAAAAAATCCACGACTGTGTTTGGTCCCTGAAAAAATATTTTTTAAAAAAATACACGCCTGTGTTTGGTCCTTGAAAAAAGTTTTTTTAAAAAATTGAAAAATTTAATTGTCCCATGTGGCTAGAGAGAGTATATGTCATTTGATACTGTCTAAACGTGAAGAGAAAGGATAATCCGATGGTGCTCCAACTTTGCACATCCTTATATTTGCATCAGTTCTAAATCAGGTGCGAAAATGGAATATATCCTTCCGGTACCTCCCCCACAAAGGGTCAACATATTCAATATCCATTAAGCTCATAAAACGCCAAATTAACCTCCGTTTCCATTCAGACTTGGCGCATCTCAATATTTCCATCAACCCAAGTTCTGTTATAATGTTGGTTGGGATCGAACCATTCCTTCTGGTACCTCCCACACAAAGGGTCAAAGTTTTGAATAACCAAAACGACTATAAAATCCGAAATAAGCATCCGACTATCATCATATTTCACACATGCCATTATTTCTACTAACACAAGATCTGCTGTGAGTATGGGATATATCGGTTCACTCCTTCTGGTACCTCTCCCACAAAGGGTCATAATTTCGAATATCCATGAAGCTCATAAGATCTTAGCGGTATTATTCACCCGAATCTTCTAAAATTTCGTATTCGAAGTTTGTAACGGCTATCTCAGTCTATGCCAAAAAAAAGTTTCGTATGTAGGTCCACGTCTTCGTATAGCCCCCATATATCGGTCCCCTCCGATATTCGGTATTTTGATGATTTTAGCGACATTATTTACCGGAATTGTTTCAAATGTTGTATTTGAAGTTTGTAGTGGGTACTACAATCTGTGCCCAAAAATGTCGTATTCAGGTCCACATCTTCGTATAGCCCCCATACAACCGTACCTCCCGATATTCGGTATTTTCATGATTTTAGCGGCATTATACACCAGAATCGTTCCAAATTTGGTATTTGAAATTGGTAATGGGTACTTCATTTTGTCACCGAAAATTGTCTTTGCAGGTCCAGGTCTTCGTATAGCCCCCATATAATTGTACCTCTAGATATTCGGTATTTTGCTGACTTTAGCGACATTATTCACCGGAATTGTTTCAAATTTGGTATTTGAAGTTTGTAGTGGGTACTACAATCTGTGCCCAAAAATTTCGTATTCAGGTCCACGTCTTCGTATAGCCCCCATATAAGGGTATCTCCAGATATTCGGTATTTTGATGATTTTAACGACATTATTCACCGGAATTGTTCCAAATTTGGTATTTGAAGTTATTTATAGGTGCTACAGCCTATGTCTAAAAATTGCGTATTTAGGTCCACGTCTTCATGTAGCCCCCATATAACGGTACCTCCCTATATTCGCAATTTTGAAGATTTTAGCGACATTATTCCGCCGAATTGTTTCAAATTTGGTATACAAAGTTAATAATGGGTACTACAACCTGTGCCCAAAAATTTCGCATTTAGGTCCACGTCTTCGTGTAGCCCCCATATAACTGTACCTCCCAATATTCGGTATTTTGATGATTTTAGCGACATTCTTCACCCAATTTGTTTCAAATTTCGTATTTGAAGTTCGCAATAGATACTACAGCCTATGACAGAAAATTGTCTAGGCAGTTCCACGTCTTTGTATAGCTCCCATATAACGGTACCTACCGATATTCGGTATTTTGATGATTTTAACGACATTATTCACCCGAATTGTTTCAAATTTGGTATTTGTAGTCCCTTGTAGGTGCTACAGCCTATGTCTAAAAATTGCGTATTTAGGTTCACGTCTTCTCATAGCCCCCATATATCGATACCTCCCGATATTCGGTATTTTGATGATTTTAGCGATATTATTCACGCGAATTGTTTCAAATTTCATATTCGAAGTTCGAAATGGATGCTACAGCCTGTGACAGAAAATTGTCTCTGCAGGTCCACGTCTTCACATAGCCCCCATATATCTGTACCTCCCGATATTCGGTATTTTGATGATTTTAGCCACATTATTTACCCGAATTGTTTCAAATTTCATATTCGAAGTTCGAAATGGATGCTACAGCCTGTGACAGAAAATTGTCTGTTTAGGTCCACGTCTTCACATAGCCCCCATATACAGGTACCTCCCTATATTCGGTATTTTGATGATTTTAGCGGCATTATTCACCGGAATTGTTCCAAATTTGGTATTTGAAGTTCGCAATGGATGCTACAGCCTATGACAGAAAATTGTCTAGGCAGGTCCACGTCTTTACATAGCCCCCATATACAGGTACCTCTCGATATTCGGTATTTTGGTGATTGCAGCGATATTATTCATCCGAATGAGTTGAAAATTTTCAAAAAATATTTCTATAGATTTTTTAAGCATAGAATGTTCGCAAAATCAAAATTTAAAAAAAAAATATTTTTTTCCAAAAAAAAAAAAAAAAAAAAAAAAATAAAAATAAAAAAAATTAATAAATTTTCAAATAACAATTCCTCGAAAAACAAATAATGCCAACCTTCAAGGACCGTGCAAACAAAGAAAAACCGTTGAAAAAATGGAATCACAATTCCATGACAACTCGACAATTGTGTGTGCTGGCGACAAAAGTGAAGTGAATGACTTTTAGTGGCTACTCACAACTGGAGCAATTTTTATCTTGAGACACAGCTAAATACTAGCCTTGCCGGTGGCTCGGCTTTTGTGAAGCAAAACACTTAAATCTACTGCTAATGACAACTTGATGTTAATGAAAATAACTGAAGAAGAGGATGGCGACAACGACAAAAGTTTAGAAGAAAGAAAACAAAACTTCCAGGACAGCCACAAAAGAAGAGGTCAGAATTTTTTGTTTTTATTGTCTTCGGCAAAGATGAGATTCAAGAACTTTTTGAGATGCATTTGGAAGAAATAAAAAAAAAAAAATTAAAAAAGTGGGAATGCTTCTGACACTTTTAAATGTTTTTTATTTCAATCGGACAACAACACAAACTACAGCAACAATTTCGAGTTGAGTTTAGAGGTTATACGCCTTTTTGCAGTGCATTGGTCATTTAAGACATTTTGAAGCACACTTTGAGGCGTTTGCTTCAGGGTATCATTAAAACCGGCTTCGTCTTGACCCACCTCCGTTTGTTGTTTACTCTGCGTGACAGCTGCGAACAGCTAACCGTCCGCTTGGGTATGTCACACATAAAAAAGAATAAAATCTCCGTTATGCCCACCAAGGAACAGCCGATACAGAGGCCAGCCAGGCCACCAAAAGAGGCTGCAAAGAAATGACAACAAATTTGAATATTTTTTTCTAAAGGAGTGCGCAGCGTGCCTACCCATTAAGTCCACAAATGTGTAAACGGCAGTTGTTCGATAGACCTTGAAGGTATTGGAGAGAAAATACACCTCCAATAGCAATTCCGTTTCATTCTGATCCGCCGGCACATCGGGCAAATTATCCGAATGGACATCGGGAAAGTAATTCAGGGATTTACAATTGAAGTAGCAGGGACAATTGATGCCCTCCTTGTTGAAGGTCACATATTGCTGTTCGCCAAAGGATTCCATATTTAGTAGAATATCTGAAAAAATGTGGGAATATATTGGAAAAAAAATATTTTTTAAAAAATCCACGCCTTGGGGATTTTTAAAAAAAATATTTTTTAAAAAATCCACGCCTTGGGGATTTTTAAAAAAAATATTTTTTAAAAAATCCACGCCTTGGGGATTTTTAAAAAAAAATATTTTTTTAAAAAATCCACGCCTTGGGGATTTTTAAAAAAAATATTTTTTAAAAAATCCACGCCTTGGGGATTTTTAAAAAAAAATATTTTTTAAAAAATCCACGCCTTGGGGATATTTGAAAAAAATATTTTTAAAAAAATCCACGCCATAGGAATATTTGAAAAAATATTTTTAAAAAAATCCACGCCATAGGAATATTTGAAAAAATATTTTTAAAAAAATCCACGCCTTAGGGATATTAAAAAAAAATATTTTTAAAAAAATCCACGCCTTAGGGATATTTAAAAAAAATATTTTTTTAAAAAATCCACGCCTTGGGGATTTTTGAAAAAAAAAATATTTCTTAAAAAATCCACGCCTTGGGGATTTTTAAAAAAAATATATTTTTTAAAAAATTCACGCCTTGGGGATATTTAAAAAAAATATTTTTTTTTAAAAAATCCACGCCTTGGGGATATTTGAAAAAAAATATTTTTTAAAAAATCCACGCCTTGGGGATTTTTAAAAAAAATTTATTTTTTAAAAAATTCACGCCTTGGGGATATTTAAAAAAAATATTTTTTAAAAAATCCACGCCTTGGGGATTTTTAAAAAAAAATATTTTTTAAAAAATCCACGCCTTGGGGATATTTGAAAAAATATTTTTTAAAAAATCCACGCCTTAGGGATATTTGAAAAAAATATTTTTTAAAAAATCCACGCCTTAGGGATATTTGTAAAAAAATATTTTTTAAAAAATCCACGCCTTAGGGATATTTGAAAAAAAATATTTTTTAAAAAATCCACGCCATGGGGATATTTAAAAAAATATTTTTTTAAAAATCCACGCCATAGGAATATTTAAAAAAATATTTTTTTAAAAATCCACGCCATGGGGATATTTAAAAAAATATTTTTTAAAAAATCCACGCCATGGGGATATTTAAAAAAATATTTTTTAAAAAATCCACGCCATGGGGTATTTAAAAAAATATTTTTTAAAAAATCCACGCCATGGGGATATTTAAAAAAAAAATATTTTTTTAAAAAATCCACGCCTTAGGGATATAAAAAAATATTTTTTTAAAAAAATATTTTTTAAAAATCCACGCCTTAGGGATATTTGAAAAAAATATTTTTTAAAAAATCCACGCCATGGGGATATTTAAAAAAAAATATTTTTTTAAAAAATCCACGCCTTAGGGATATAAAAAAATATTTTTTTAAAAAAATATTTTTTAAAAATCCACGCCTTAGGGATATTTGAAAAAAAATATTTTTTAAAAAATCCACGCCTTAGGGATATTTGAAAAAAATATTTTTTAAAAAGTCCACGAAGGTTACACTCACCATTGTGCTTATATAAACATGGCAAATCCAATAACCTGCAGGGTCGATAATTTTCGTCGATCGGATAAAGGATATCCATGGTACAGTTGCACAACTTGGCCAGATATTCCTGTTGGCACTCCGACTGACAGTTTTCGAACATGTAGGGATGATATTTCAGAGATTTGTAGTACAAACTTTGCAGTTCATCCTGAAAATAAAAAAAAATTCGGTCAAAATTTAGCTCCCCACCCCCAGGCCCTTACTCTCACCTCAAACACACACTGCCTCACAGACTGGGGAAATATGCGCGTGGTGTTGTCGTAAAAATGTAAATAAGCCGAGATCGAGGCCGTTGTTCTCGTACTGGTCGGCACTTCGTGGGGTAGATAAGACCAGACACCGGGTTCCACAAACATTAGCTGAAAAATTAGTTGGCGGATTCAAAGGAAACGGAAAAA